GTCTTTGGCTGCAAAGAATATAATCAATCTGATTTCGGTGTTGACCATCTGGTGATGTCTGTGTGTGGAGTCTTCTCTTGTGTTGTTGGAAGAGGGTGTTTGCTATGACCAGTGCATTCTCTTGGCAGAACTCTATTAGCCTTTGCCCTGTTTCATTCTGTACTCCAAGGCCAAATTTGCCTATTACTCCAGCTGTTTCTTGACTTCCTACTTTTGCATCACAGGGCTCATCTTTTTGTTTCTCTTCTCTTAAGCATCACAGTTCTGCTCTGTCTGTTTCATATTTTATTCAGTTTTTTAGTTGTTTATGCAAGAAGGTAGGTCTGTACCAGATTCTTCTATATGGGAGTAAGATCTTTTCGTTAAGTTGAAGATTGAAACTTAAAGCCCAAAAAGTTTGTTGGAAGCTCTGTGCTTGTGATAAGAAGTTTTGACTGTTGGACCTCCTAATATAAATATCATGCATGATTGATTTCATTACCATTCCCCATAATAGTTATTATCTGTAAAATCTTTCTTTTGGACATCTCACTTCAAAATTCAATTATTTCTGAGTTCTTTTTTCAGTTCAATAGCTCCAGGTGACAAACCTCTCATTTTCTGTTAGGGTGTTCCAGCAGTTCTCCCTTTAATTTTATTTTTTCCTGTTACATAACCTTATTCTGAAGATATTTTTCACTTAATTATTTGATACTTTCAGAATTAGTTTTTCAAGTTATTAATACTTTAAAGTCTGCCAGATTTTTTATTTGTGCTGTTTTATATTACTATAGTGTCTATTTTTACTTTTACTTTTAATCATTTAATGTTTATTTTATAATGCTTTTCAGATTGTTATATCATCTTCAGTTTTTAGGTCTTAATTCTCTTGTTGGCTGTATCTATGGACATTTTAAATTGTTATTTGTTTCCTTATGTGGAAACAAAATTCTTGATTGCATGTAAACAGCAGTTCGTATTTGCTTATGACAGCATCCTTTGGATTTCAACATTTCTGAATTAGGTTTTATTTTAAATTTCAGTTTACAGTTTTTATAATGATGAGTAGCAGAAATATAATTCTCATTAGTTAATTCACAGCTGATTTTTTTAAAATTTCCTTTCCATCCAAGGCACTGAATAAAGTACAAGAAAGCTTCCTTGTGGTTTTGCTGGCTGAGTTTATGAATAAAGTGGCATTATGCAAGGTTTTGTTTCTGGCAGTCCCATCACATGAATCCCAAACCTACACCTTTTGCCTCAAATGTTCTATGGTATACTAATCTCCCACTGTAAGATCTAATATGAGGGTCTGAATCCCTATTAGCAATTGAGTCAGCACACATATACGTATGTTTGTGTGTATACACATTTATACACATAAATGCATAAAATGCACATATACATATGTACAAAAAACAAATGCATATGTATAAACAGTTACACATGTATATATTTAAATATACTTAACATTTCAATATATATGTAAAGAGAGGATGTGTCTTCTCTATCAGTTTCCTGACATATAGCTGAAATGTGCCTGAAATTCCTTTGAGATGTTGGGATTTCTAGGTATATGCATGTATAATGTGTCAGCAGGGGAGAGGACTAAGGAAGGGACATTTTGCTTTGAATTAAAGAGAAAACTTAACACATCTCATGATGAAATCACATGCCTTCTCCCTGCAGAACTACTCTTCCCTGATGTCCAACTCCCAACCTCTCCCTTACAATCCCTCATACAACCACACATCAAGCCCTTCCATCACACCTTCTAAGAATTTCTCCAGGTTGTCCACTCTGTCCTCCTTATTTCAGGTTCCATCATATTTCACTCAGGCAATATCGCCTGAGAAAAATCTACATTCAGTCTTGTCCTGACTTTCCTCACACAGATGGCATAGTGATCTCTCTTAAACATAATTCTGATCATGTCATTCTTCTGCCTAAAATGACCAAATGGTCTCCAAATCTCTTGGGAGACAGGCCAAAACCCTTAACATGACCCAGCTCATTCTGCTCTAGCCTCATGTAGTACATTTCTTTAGCACACTGACTTTTAAGGTCCTAGAGTGTGCCAAGTTCCCTTCTAACTAGAGTCCTTTGCACATACTTTTTGCTCTGCTTGTAACATTGTTCCTGAAAATAATTAAATACTTACTCCTGTAAATTTTGGTTAAATGTTTGTATCTCTTCATAAGAGTATAAGTTCCATGAAGACAGGATCCAGTCTTGTTCCAGCTCTTAACAAGACATACTTGAGACATAGAATATGCCCAAAAAGTATCTGTTGAAGGAAGAAAGGAAACAAGAGGAAAGAAATACAATATTACGAGACTTAATTGGAATGAACATTTGATAAAGTGAAATTGATCCAACTCTCAGTTCAGTTCAGTCGCTCAGTCATGTCTGACTCTTTGCGACCTCATGGACTGCAGCACGCTGCTTCATCACCAGTGTGATGGTGGACAGGCTTCCCTGTCCATCACCAACTCCTGGAGCTGGCTCAGACTCACGTCCATTGAGTCGGTGATGCCATCCAACTATCTCATCTTCTGTCGTCCCCTTCTCCTGCCTTCAGTCTTTCCCAGCATTGGAGTCCTTTTCAATGAGTCAGTTCTTCACATCAGGTGGCAAAAAAATTGGAGTTTCCACTTCAGCATCAGTCCTTGCAGTGAATATTCAGGACTGATCTCCTTTAGGATGGACTGGTTGGATCTCCTTGCAATCCAAGGAACTCTCAAGGGTCTTCTCCAACACCACAGTTCAAAAGCATTAATTCTTTGGTGCTCAGCTTTCTTTATGGTCCAATTCTCACATCCATACATGACTCCTGGGAAAACCATAGCTTTGACTAGATGGACCTTCGTTGGCAAAGTAATGTCTCTGCTTTTTAATATGCTGTCTAGGTTTGTCCGAGATCCAACTATGAACAACTGCAATTAATTGATCTTCAATTTCATTTCATTTTTGGTAAGGGGGGGATAAACAAACTTATTTTCTCAGTATAGAAAGGAGACATTTAGAAAGAAGAGATTGGGAGCAGAAGTCAAGTTTATGGACTTTACTACACTTCATATTTTAACTCATTTACTTATCATGGAGTGAACAAAAAAGTTCCAACCCAAAACTCTGAAATAATTCCCTCCTGCCACTACAAATCCAGCCAACTCCAGTTAGCATGATTTATCATGTTTTGGGAAAGTTGTTTTAACAATGGTGACTTAGAGGAGCAACTTTGGGGATAATGTATAACAATGAAAAAAAACTACTTATTCTTTTTATGTTACCTTTGTGCTTTTTTTCTTCCCAAAATAGAGTTTTCATTTGGTTTTCTGCTTTTCGGTTAATAAAAACACTGTATACATCCTGGCAGCCGTGCAGAAGTTATTGATACAGTAGAGGGCAGTATATGAGCACATCTCAGGATGAAAATACTGGGCTGCCTCTGGGCTCCCCTTGGAATGATGTGTGGCAAGGTCAGTTAGAGGAAGACCTAAGCAATTTAGGAAGCTACAAGTTGAGAAGGTATAGTAAGTATCAAGTCATTGAGTATCTCAAAATGTGGAAAACACATGAAATTTTAAACGTTGATTTTTAGAAATTTTATATTTGATGCTCATGAACAGGAATACACAGACTATTCTTGACAACGGTAGACCCTGGCTTTTCTTGTTTTGTTTTGTTAATGATCCATCCTTATTTTTATTGAAAAAGCAAAAGTGGTGAGTTTTAACAGGTTGGGTTTGTATTCATGACATAGACAAAGGAAGTTTAAGTATGAGCTATAAACATTTTTTATCCTTGCAAAGATCACACCTAGGAATTTATTTTTATGTTACGTGGTCTCATGTTATTCTTATTTGGTTGAGTGAACTGGGAAGGTTACTGAACTTGGAGAAATAAATTCTGCAGTACTGTATGCCATGCATTCTGAGCCTACTAAAATGAATCACAGAGGGGAAGCACATGCCAAACAATTCCAAAGATACTTCTATTGACTGTGAAGCAGTTCAGTGCAGTGTTCAGCTTGGATGAGGCCATCAAGTTAGAGTATGTAGCTTCAGTGGAATTTATATAAAGCTCTAAAGTCTGTAAAGCTTGACAGAATTGAGCTATCATTTTTTTTAAGGTTCCCTGTCAAGGAGGAGGTAGAAGCTGAAAGGAAGCAAGTAGGAGGCTTGGCTTATACACTTAGTTGTAGCTATAGGTCAGTCTCAAAGTTACTGCTAAAAGGTACTCATGCCTATTTAATTGCAGGGAAGCTTATGCAAGAGCAGTGCTGTCTGCGGTACCTGGAAGACTTTGACAGTTCCAGGTACTCAGGGAGAAAGTGAAATAATTGGTTATTGGGTTACTGATGACATGAGGCCAGAGAAGCTTCCACAAAAAAACTATTTTGGAAAAAAGAAGTTATTTTCTCTTCCATACTCAAAAATTAACTTTATCTCATGGTTTTATGAGAAGCAGATGATCTTTGGATGTTCATTATGGAATATATTCATTTGTGCTTTACAAATTATTTTGATAATAATAACAAACATAAAATAATAGCAATGATAACAATAATTACTTATATTGATAATAACAGAATTATACACTTCATAGAGTTTAAAATTTCACATGCTGACACTTCCAACCTTAGAAGCATCTAAAATTGATGGAGGGTTATAATCATTGTCGGCCAAACACCATTGCCTGTGAATTCAATTTGGTTATAGCTTTTTTTTAAAAAACTGTATTGAGAATTATTGTGCACACAGAAAATGATAGAGACAAATGTGCAACAAATGATTAAATATGTCTAAATAAAACAACTAAAAAAGGTTTGTTGCTAAGTATAAAACAAGAATCCTAAGGGATAAGAAAGTATAGTTAAAGTAGTATTCTGTTTCCCTAGTGGTACATAAAACAATGCTGTATGTTACAATCAGTGGTGTCTTAGGTTTGATAAAATATGACATTTTTATATCCATTTTATGAGTGGAGAATCTGAGGCCAAGAAAGGCCAAGAAAATTCCCAGGAAACATAATAAAATATAGTTTCTCATCTATCATGGTTCGCCGAATATTCTGAATAGAAAGGCTAAAAGTGACTCTTTCACTCTATTCTTACCTTCCTTTCCAATGAAAACTTCATTAATAATTGTTCACATGCTTATAACTATTTAGTGAAAAAAGTTGTACTTTCAAAAAAGAACCCAGAATGCCTATTTTGAACATAGAAAGCAAGTAGTACTATGATGTTGTGACATCACAGAAACTGAATTCTGAAAAACCCCAAGAATTGAAAAGTTTATTTTGGCCCGTCATTAAATCAACCCATAGCTAGAATAAATCTATGGAGATACAGAAACCTCACAGAGTGAAATTGCTTTAAACACTTAACAAAATTTAAATGTTAAACCTGTCCAAAACTTGATTGCCTTAAGCCAAAACATCCTTAAGTGCCCTACATTTCAAAAAAAAAAAAAAGCATAGATGTAAAAGAGACAAATGTAATATTTTGGCTCTTCCTTATAGCTCAAGCAGTAAAGAATCTGCCTGCAAGGCAGGAGACCGGGGTTCAATCCCTGCATCATGATGATCCGCTGGAGAAGGAAATAGCAAGCCAGTCCAGTATTCTTGCCTGGAGAATCCCATGGACAGAGGAGCTGGTGGGTGACAGCTTGTGGGGTCACAGAGTCGGACACAACTTAGTGACTAACACTACCACTGCTGTTACCAACATTATTTTCTCTTGTGTCAACAATTCCATGTCTCTTGTTTCTCCAAGCAGAGTCTCAGAGTGTGGGCTGAAACTTGGAAGTCAGTGCACTTGGAAGGCCAACTGGCCCAGTGAAGCAAGCACCAGGCATATTCTGTAGGGTCATCTGACAGTTTTCATGTCCAAATAACCATCAGGCTTTGGATCTAGCTCAAATTCACACTTAGCCTTTACCTCTGGCAACCAGGTTCCAGATGCATCCTCGTTTATCACATCCCGACAAAGGAGAAATTTTCAGGTGCTGTGGGCGTGCATCATTATGTAAGCCAAGATTTTGTTTGATCCTGCTCAGTGCAAACAGAGATGGAATTCAATTTGAATATTGGCATTTGAAAGGAAGAGGCATATTACTCTGTGACCTTGAGGATAACTTCCTGCTGGAGAAGTAGAAGCTATTTCTTGTTAGGTTCTGGAGTTAAAGGCATTACTTCCTACAAGGTGCAGAGCTATTTGCAAATAGTGTCTGACTCTGCATTACTAAGCAATGTGAATAGCTCTGTGTATTTTACCCCCTGGCAGTTTACTTGGGATAAATGGAGAGGGCAGGGGTTTCTTAGAGTGATAAAAACTACCAAAATACTATTTTCTTTACATTTCACCAATTAGATAGTCACTTATTCTAACCATCATCTCTTTGGAATAACAATATAACTTGCTTTAATTAAAGAGAGGGATGTGTGTGTGTTTGTGTGTTAGTCAGTCGTGTCCAGCTCTTTGCGACCCCATGGACTGTATCCTGCCAGGCTTCTCTGTTCTTGGAGTTCTCCAGGCAAGAACACTGGAGTGGATAGCCATTTCCTTCTCCAGGGGATCTTCATCGTGCAGGGATTGAATTCAGCCTTCTACTTTGCAGGCAGATTCTTTACTGTCTGAACCATCAGGGAAGCCCAATCAGAGAGAAACCCAGCTAAAATCATTTCCAGAGGAAAGGAGTTTTAACTTCAAGGAAGAATGTCAATCCCAATCTCCCAATTCATCCCACTACCCCCTCTTTCCTCCTTAGTATTCACATATTTGTTCTCTACATCTGTATCTCCATTTCTGCTTTGTAAATAAGATTGTCTATACCAGTTTTGTCAGATTCCACACATATGAGTTAACATACCATTTTTGTTTTTTCTCTTTCTGACTATACTATGTATAAAATAAATAACCAATGAGAACCTGTTACCGAGTCCAAACTCTCCTTGCTCACCGCAGGATAAATCATTGAATCTGAGACAAGGTGTTGGGACTAGGAAGGGACTTGGAAGTTTTGCCAAGCACTTGGTGGGTGCTGTGTGTGCCACACAAATTCAAGAATATCACAGTACTTCACAGGTGAGCAGGGTCAGGTTATCTCCCAGAGGCAGGCCATTAAGTATGCTTATAATGACAAAAGCAGGAAGATAAAGGGTTAAAGTCACAGAAACAGATCCCTTGTAAATTCAAATTAACCCTTCCTAGCTACAAACCTACTGTATATAGCACAGGAAACTCTCCTCAGTCCTGTCTGGTGAAGTAGATGGGAGTGAAGTGAA